GTCCACTTTAGACATTCTATTAACTATAAGTAACTTTGTAACTACATGTCAACTACATGTCAACTAATTCTCATTAATGTGCAACTCCATGTCTACTAACTCTCAGAGTAGACTGTTAGGGTAGGTTTAGGGTTAGTAGAATGTTGACAAAGAAAGTGTTAGAAGATATTAAGCAGACAGTCTACTTATACTCTACTAACTGCTAGTTGACGTAGTTGCAAAGTTACTTACTGTTAATAGAATGTCTAAAGTGGACTATCAAAATAAAGTGTTACCATTTAATGTGTTTTTGCTGAATAAAAGTATAAATTAAATATAAAAAAGTATATATATATATATATAAAAAAAAATCTTACTGACCCTAAACTTTTGAAGTTCTGCTAAAAGTGAATTTTGTCTATGTTTAGGTATACACTATAGCATACAGATGAGCTCAAAGCTAACAAACAGCCCAATCTGCTGTCTACTGAATGACACCAAGATTTATCACCACTCTTTAGCAGCCAGTTCAGAAACTCTACATTTACTGGGACAATGAAAGTAAATGAATTCTCAGCATGGTACCATCAGCAGATTTCAGGCAATACAACTCACAGGATACCCATTTACCCATAATGCTCCTGGAATGCCTCCTGACTGACCGCTGCTGGATTGCCTCCCCATTCGCACATGGGATGCTCTGCATCCCATATCTTTCCCCAACCCCATTTTCCCATCAGCTTGCCTGATACCAGCTGTAGGCCATGTTGTATCTTACACAGAATCGAACGCCATTAATGTTTCAGCGTCTGGAGCCGCCGTCTCCAAGCCAGGATGTGGGACAGGGACTTACTGGCCTTCCCGAGACACAACAGCACCCTGCAAATCATCTGTGAGTAGCACCCTCTCCATTTCCTCCCTAGTCTCTCTCCCAATGTTAAAGTTTATAGTATAATTTTCATTATTAATGAAATTGCTAATGTAAATGTTAACAATAGGATTTTTTTATTATTATTTTGACAATGTTAGCAAAGCTGAGATTAATGCATACATCATGATAATAATTAAATATGAATGTTTCAAATAACCCAATCATGGTTAAGAATGACCAGTATTGATTTTAGTCAAAGTAAAATGTACTCAAATTAATAAATATGACATGATGAAATATTGAATTAAAAAAAGAATATAAAATATTCTAAAACAAAAAAAAAAACTGTAAAATTAATGCAAGCCACTTTTTATTCTCTACTTTTATAGTTTTCAAAAGACAAGAATTGTGATTAAAACAACAAAAAAGAAAACTAAAAAAAATAATAATAATACTCGTCACTTTTTAATACTTTCTTTATGTATGTATATATATATATATATATATATATATATATATATAATTAAT